TTGGGGGCAGGACTGCTTAGGGCGAAGCTTGCCCTTTTATGTTGCTTTCGATATCGATATAAAACACAATGTAAAGTAAGGGCCAAAGGTTTATCTTTCCTGGGTGGGAGACCCCAAGAACTCATGACACGGCTACTAGAACAGACACGAGTGCTCTACACCATGTCCATAATTGAGCCCCAAGAGCACCCTGCTATACCCATGATGACAAATGCGGCCAATTTGGCACGAGTACTTATTCCGGCGAGCATGCTTTGTGAGGGGGTGTGGAGGTCGGAATTGTCAGGGGGAAAGATGAACCCTTAAACCCTAAAGCCTAAAATGAGGGAGTCAATGCTAAAGGACACCTACTGAAGATTCTATTGCATATTCGCAAGGATTCCCCTGCTTCTCTTCAACTTGGATTCACATCCCGCCTGACTGTCCACTGCTGCCACAAAAGCGACCAGAGCCTGACAAACAACGAATATCAAATTCAATATGCGAGGGTTGCAGATGGGGGCCCTTGCTTCGTGGAGAACTTTGATTCGTGATTATCTCGAGGTCGAATCTGCTGGAATGCTGGCCCAGCATTTCGACCCTGTTGCTTCCCTGCTGCTTGATACAAATTTCGGAGCTCGTGGAACTTTTGTTCTCATGAAGAGAGGTGATATGCGGATCCGCGGTCCAACGAAGGTGTTGTATTGAACTTGCAACTGTATTGAACAAGTCGAAGCTTGTGGGTGTCAACGCCACAAGCTAATCATCGGTTGAACGCCCGTCGGAAATCCTACCTCTTCTAGCATCTTACCCCTCGGAAAGAAAAACCGTTCATTGCCACACCAAGTGGCAGCAGGCGCACGTGTGCGGCAAAGGTGGCTTGAGACACCCCGTGCAGTGCGCTGAAGTTCCACGGATGCCTTGCATGTCAATCCACAACAAGAATCGCAATGTTGAAGAACCTCAGTCGGACGTTGCAGTTTCCAGCTCGGACTTCTCACATTTGAAAGAAAATTTCGCGAATTCCTGGGCAAAACCTCAAGGCGAGTTGCGGTCACAATGCTTTGTGGCAACTTAACCACTGCAAGCAAAACCTGAGACCGAAACCTGCGTTTGCACACACATGGTTTGCGCACAACACGCCGTTACACGTTCCACAACAGTCTCCGCACAACACAAAATTGAACACACGAATAGGATTGCATGTGAACCCCCACTTCGATTGCATGAAGCTCAAAACACTTCTTGCCGTTCCCCACGTGACGCAGCCCAATTCTTGCAATCCTGGACATTCACGGCACTACCTAACCTGATCGACATGATCAAAACAGAAATCTCATATCTCGGCAGAAGGTGCCCATAGATTGCACCAAGGAACCACATGTAAGCAAAATCCCCCTAACCAGCCCGGTCAAGCTTTTGGCAAAGCCTGTAAAGCTAGTTTGAGGAATAAAGGCGCCAGACCATACCGTTATCCGATAACTGCATGCAAGAGATTCACCTTTTTTCGTACATCCCAGGCCAAAAGCCAATCAGCTGCATGCTGGGTGAACAGCTGGACTTGGAAACCGCTAGAAAATGGGGCGTCTATTTCCTGCAGCACCTGGCGGAGCCCGAAATTTGGGCAATCAGAGGAGACAAGCCATGGTGGTCCGCTACATAATCCCGGAGGCATTGTTGCGCATGTCATGGATCTGGATTTGGCCTTTAGCGCAAACTACCCAGTGCCATGCTATACGAGATGCCCACAGCCAAATGCATGAACTATTGAAAACATTACAACACTTACTCACTACATCACGGAGATTTTCTTATCAGGTCTTGCCCTGGCGTGGCCCGACTCAGGACGATTGTAGCATATGCTACTCACTGAACCCCGCAACGAAAAAGACGGGATGCCACTCCCATGTCAAGCAAGTTTCCGTGCTGCAAAGACACAGGCGCATGGCAACGATGCCCGGAGTGAGGCATGAAAATCTTGAAAATCTTGAAAGTATGTATATTCATACAAGCTTCGCCAAATAGAGCATAAAGGTCCATGTGTATGGTAGCCAACGAAGACGGGAACAAGTATTCCATGCTTGTAACGGAGATGGATCTCATAAAGCGGGGTTCTGTTTCAAATCCAGGCATGCAACAAAGGTTCTAAATGAGAATGAGTTCCCGCAAGTAAGGTTTCAGGGAAAGCGTCCTGGAGAAATGCAACACTCAGGACTCTTGCGTCTCCAGTTCAGAGCATGCCACTATTGCAATTCTGCTTTGCTATTATTCCTTACTATTCCGTATGCCAAATTACAACACTCGGCGCCCCGACGGAACCTCAGCCTTCACAATCTTAACTTATCCAACATCTCTACACAAACACCATAACCTAACTGACCCGCTCACTTTACCATTCACTTGCTTGCACGTTGCTTCATGCTCTGTAACGGTTGCAGGGGTGTGGAATGTGGAATACGTCTGTTCACATCGGCATCTACACCCTCACCCAAGATGTCCCTGCCCGACAATTTCGGATTAAGGGCGTAGGGTCCACAAACATACTGGCTGCTAGCAGGTAATGGATGAATGGACCCAGAAATCTCACTATGACACAGCAGTTCTATGTACTCTTTCGCTACTTCTTGCCCTACTCGCAATCAGCAAGAAAAGGTTTCAGTCAACAATCAGGTGGCGTCGAGACTTTGGCATCCTACCGGCTCGGATAGCTGGGGGTTGAGGGTTCAGATCTTGGGGATATATTAGGGATATATTGGGATTATGGGAAAGAAAATGGAAACTACTGCTTTGGGGATTAGGGTTTAGAGTTTAAGGCTACTGACGTGCTAGGGCCGAGGGATCATGAATGTGGCGGGCAAATATAGGGACATACCAGGATAAAAGGAAATGCTGCGTCATCCTTAACCCTAAGCCCTACAAGGAAATAGTGCGCCCTCTTCTGAAGTCCAGCTCCGAACTCTCCTACTGGACATCAGTATAGAGTTTGAGGTTTAGGGTTTAGGTCTAGGGTTTAGGGTAGCAAACTCCAAGCCGACGAAGGACATTCACCGGGAGATCATGCGCAGGCAGCAATCCCCAATCCAAACCAAAAGCGTCCGACAGCAAAAGCAATTCAGGGATTTCCCGGAAGGAGGGGGTACCTTTTTAAGGGTCCCTAAAACAAGGACTTGGTATTGTGGATTCTATTTTGTGGCCCCCTATTTTGGGAGACTACTATTCCTCACGAGGGAAGAGGGAAGGTTGCGCTCATGTGGAAACATGTCTTAAGAGTGGTTGCAATAAGGAACTTAAAGCAAGTTACGATAACAAGGAACCCCATCATTTACTTTCATCCCAGAATATTGTAACTTAAATGAAGTTTCTTAACAGCAGCCCAGCAAAGTTCGGCTTGGGAATATATTTGGCCCCATGAGACCCCAGCAGGACAAGCAACTCATCATGCCGGTGTCTGCATTTACAAGCCCGGCACCCTGAACCGAAGAATCCCTTAATTAGGGTTGAGGGTTGGGGGTTTGGGGTTTAGGGAAACCATGAATCGCTCTTCCCTGCTGTCTGCGCTGCCATGTCAAGTGTAGACGCAATCTCAGGCGCAAAGCACCTGAGTAGTGTTTTTTTGGTGGTTAAACCCAGTAAGATTATATCCCTTATATAAAATACTATACCCCAAAAGGAGGATATAATCTCCCTAAATCCTAAACCCTAAACCTGGGTACCATAGTATCCCCAAGTAAAATACTAGTCACCTGGATCTAGGGTGGTTGGAGGCTCAAGAAAATGTTCCAAGCAGATCGGGAGTTTCCTGTGTCCCCAAAATACACTATTCTTGGGTAAGGTTATAAGGGTTATTAGGGTTATAAGGGTTATTAGGGTTTAGGGTTTAGGGTTCAGGCTGTAGGGTTCATTGTTTAGGGTTTAGGGCGGTTTAGGGTTCAGGGTTCAGCGTTTAGGGTTTGAGGGCCTAAGCCTTATGAACCCTAAACCGTGTGAGCTGGGATGTGGGGCTGCACTCTCCTCCTACACCCTAAACTCCCTTAAGAAGCAAAGCGAACCCCTGTTGCAGAAGATGAGCGAACCTACACCCCAAAACGCACAAAAGCTTAGGTTTCAGGGCTTAGGGCCAGTGAACCCGGACCCTGCCAGTCTCCAATCGCCATCTCATTTGCTATTTGCTTGTCCATGTCACTCTCTGCCAAAACCTAAAACTCTCAACCCTCAAGATACTGATCCACTGAGCGCTGTACCCTACACTCTCCCAAGCGAACCCCCCAAAAGGCCCTACAAAGACTACCATGCCAGTCTGGGCGAGGGTAAGCCCCAAATCCTATACATCTCGAAATATTCCTACATGGCCTGTATGAACCCGCACAAAAATTGTAGCAGAATTCCTTATTTCCTAATAGGTCCCCCTACAAGCCTATGTACGACATGTAGGTCCCCCTAAATCCTGACTCTAGTGGGTATGGAAATCTAATCCCAATCCCTAAACCCTAAACCCTATACAGTTCCATGTTTGCCACCCAGCTGCGGTAGTTGACCGCCGCAGTTTCTTGAGTGGAGAGTGCAGGCTTCTGCCAAGGCCTGCAGTGCCAAGGCACACACGCGGCTGGAGGCTCAGGGTCAAGGGCTTCGGGTTCAGTAGTTAAAGTTTAGGGTTTACCTGGACCCCATCATAGGTAGGCAAAATCAAGGCCTTTATGGCTACTATTACAAATCCGGCAGGCCTTCAGCTG